CATACACTTTAATAAGTTTGACATATGTATATATACCCATGAAATCACTGCAATCAAGATAATAAACAAACTGATCACCCCAGAAATTCCCTCCTGCTTCTTGTGATCCTTCCCTCCACTTGTTCCCCATCTCTAACAACCACTGGTCTGCTTTCTTTAACTGTAGATTAGTTTATATTTTCTAGAATCTTACTTAGATATAATCAGACCGCATTTACCCTTTTTTTTACCCTAGTTTCTTTCAATCAGCAAAATTATTCTGAGATTCCCCAATAGTGTATATCAATAGCTTATTCCTTTTTATGGCTGAGTAGTATGGCATTGTATGGATATATCATGAGTTTGTTTATTGGTTTACATGTTGCTGTATATTTGTGTTGTTTCCAATTTGGGATTATAAGTGGAGCTGCTGCTGCAAACATTCATGTACAGGTTGTTGTAGGACTTATTACATTTTAATTTTCTTGGACAAATACCTAGGAGTAGATGGCTTGATCATAATGGCAAGTGTGTATGTTTAACTTTTAAGAAAATGCCAAAAAAAGTTGTATCATTTTACATTCTCACCAGCAGCGTGTGAGAATGCTCATTCCTCTCTTTCCTCACCAGCACTTGGTATTGGTCATTCTTTTTAATTTTAGCCAATCTAGTAGGTATCTCTTTTTGGTTATAATTTGCATTTCAAGAGTTGTATTAAGCATCTTTCTTGTGTGCTTCTTGGCCATAATATATCTTTGGTGAAAGTCCATTCAGATTTTATGCCCATTAAAATTTTTTCTTTAATTAAATTTTGAGAGTTCTTTATACTCTGGAAACAAGTCCTTTATCAGACATGCGATTTGCAAATCCCAGCCTGTGGGTTGTCTTTTTATAAGCCGTATCTTTCAAAGAGCAATGTTTAATTTTGCTGAAGGCTAGTTTATCAAATTTTTCTTTATGGATTTTGCTTTTAGTGTCATGTCTAAAGAATCTTTGCATACCTCAAGGCCCCAGAGGTTTTCTCTTGTGTTTCTTCCATTTTTATAGCTTATATGTTTTATATTTAGATCCGTGTCCCATTTTGAGGGAATTTTTGAATATGATACAAGTATGGATCAAAGTTCACTTTTTTGCATACATATATAGAATTGTTGAGCACCATTTGTTGAAAAGACACTTTTCTCTACTAAATTGCCTTTGCACCTTTGTCAAAAACCAGTTGTGCATATATGTATGGATCTGTTTCTGGACTCTGTTCTACGGATCTGTTTGTGTATCTTTATACAAATACCATATTGCCTTGATTACCGTGGCTTTATAATGAGTCTTGAAATCAGGTAGTGTTCTTCAGCTTCATTCTTTATCAAAGTTGTTTTGGCTGTGCTAGGGCCTTTGAGTTTCTCTGTGTACCTTAAAATCAGTTAATCAATATCTAATAAAAATGTCTTTTAGGATTTTGATTGAGATCCTTTTGAATTTATAGATAAGTTTTGGAGAATTGACATCTACATAAACCTCCATTTAAGTGGGTTTTCTTTAATTTCTTTGAATAATGCATGGTTTTTAGTGTACAGGTCTTACATATCTTTTGTCAGATTTATCCTTAAGTACTCCATATTTAATTTTAAGGTGTCATTATTTGTTGCTAATACACAGAATTATAGTTGATTTTCGTGTACTGATCTTGTATCTTGCAGCCTTGCTAAACTCACATATTGTAGTATATTTTTTACAAATTTCTTTAGATTCTTCTGAAGACACAGTCATTTCATCTGTAAATATAGACAGTTTTACTGCTTATCAATCTGCATGCCTTTTCTTTTTTTCTTGCCTTATGGCACTCGCAAGAACCTCCAGTAAAGTATTGGATGGAAATGGTGAGAATAGACACCCTTGTTTATTCCCAGTCTCAGGAGAAAAAATTCAGACTTTCACCAGTTGGTGTGATGTTAGTTAGTTCTCGGTTTTATATAGATACCTTTTGTAAGGTTGAAGAAGTTCCCTTGTAGTCCTGCTTTGCTGAGAGTTTATCAGGAGTGGATATGGAATTTTGTTCAATGCAGCTGCTGCTTTTTTTTTTCTTTTACTATTATTGTATTATTGGAATGATCACATGGTTTTTCTTTTTTAGTTTGTTAATATGATACACATTGGTTGGCTTCGAATGTTAAACCAGTCTTGCTTTCTGTGATAAACTCTACTCAATCATGATACATTATTCTTTTCATATATCTTAGTAATCAGTTTGTAAAATTTTTTTTTCATTTATGTTTATGAGAGATATTGATCAGTTTTTTCTTTTCTTGTCATGTCTTTGTCTCGTTTTGCCATAAGGGTACTGCTAGTTTCATAGAACATACTGAGAAGTGTTTTCTTACTTTCTGGACCAGTTTGTGCCAAAATTGGTATATTTTTCCTCAAATGTTTAGTAGAATTCACTGGTGAAGTTATTTGGGCCTTTGGTTTTCTTTGTGGGAAGGCTTATAACTACAAATTTAATTCCTTTAATATAGGGCTATTCAGGCTTTCTATTTCTTTTGGAGTGAATTTTGATAGCTTGCATTTTTTTCAAGAAATTTCATCTAAGTTGTCAAATTTGTTGCAAAATTTGTTTATAATAGTCTTTTCCATCCTTTTATTATTTCACTTCTCATTTCTAATATTAGTAATTTATCACTTTATTTTTTTCTACTGATCAGTCTGACTAGAGGTGTATCAATTTTACTGATCTCAGTGAACTAGTCTTTGATTTAATTGATGTTCTCTTGTTTTTCTGTTTTTTTGCTTCAGAGACTTCTGCTCTGATCTTTATTATTGTTATTATTATTATTATTTTGGTCTTAGTTTGTGTTTAATTTGCTCTTTTTTTTCTAGCTTCTTAAGGTGGACACTTTGAATCTTTTTGTCTCTTCTTACGTAAGTGTTTAGTGCTATAAATTTCCTGCTTTCGTGGCATTCCCCAAACTTTGTTACGTTGCTTTCATTTTCATTCAGTTCACATTCCCTTTTGACTTCTTTGACCCGTAGGCTGTTGAGATGTATGTTTAGTTTCCAAGTATTTGTGGAGATTTTTCCAAGTTTTCTGTGTGATTCAAATCCCTTCAGATTTATTGAGACTTGTTTTATGGCCCAGAATATGGTTGACCTTGGTAAATGTTCTGTTTGCAATCGAGAACTGTGTGTATCCTGCTCTTTTTGGTTTGGAGGGTCCTGTAAAGGTCAGACCCAGTTGGTTGATGGTGGTGCTCACTTTCTGTATTTCCTTGCTGATTTTCTGTATACTAGTTGTATTGATTGCCGAGAGGAATGTTAAAAGTCTCCAACTGTAGTTTTAAATTTCTCTTCTCAGTGCTGTTAGTTTTCTTCCTGTGTGATGAAGTTCTGCTGTTTGAAACATACACATTTAGGATTGTTGTGTCTTCTTGGTGAACGAATTGTTATATATTATCTTTTTCTGTCCCTGGTAACTTTTCTTTGCTCTGAAATCTACTTTGATATTACTGTAGCCACTGGAGTTTTCTTTTGATTAGTGTTTTTGTATCGTATATGTTTTTCTTTCATTTCACTTTTAATAATTATTTACTTGAATAACTTTTCCACTAGGCTTGGCTAACGGTGAATGATCACTTGGGAAGTTGTTTTGTGAGTTTGAACTCTCTTTGTATGGAATTACACAAAATGTCATCCTTTTCCTGTAACTTCCTTCCTTGTTGAATTTGTCCATTTTCAGTTTGGTCTCTCCTGCCCTCTGTGAGAATTCCACCTTTCATGCTAACGCTACCACTGTCAATACTTACTATGGCTCTGCTGTGTATTAGCTAGCCTCTGTTCAGGGTGCTGGGGAGAGATTAACAAAGTCCTTCCTATGGCAGCTCTGTTTTAGTGGAGTGAGACAGACAGTAAACAACTATATACTGTATCAGTGGTGATAAGCTCTGTGGGAAAAAATCAAGCACTGAGTAAGAGAGAGTAAGGAGGTTTGGTGCCTGGGGCAAGGAGGATGTTGCCATAGAAGTGATCAAAGAGGCCTCTCTACAAGGTGGTATTAGGACAGAGACGTGACAGAGGGGAGGGGTGAGCTATTGGGGAACTCGAGCGAAGAACATTTCTGGCAGAAGGAATGGGGAGAATGAAGCCCTAGGATGAGAATATGTTAGGGGAGGAGAGTGTGGCTAGAACAAAGTAAGTGATGTCAAAGGTCATCCTACCCAGATGGAACATTGCAGAGTTCTGAACTACTAACTGGCCTTCTACAGCACTGTGGTTCAGACCAAACAGTACAAGGGAGGCTTACGCTTGTAGAACTGAGAGGAGGGCGTGGGCAGGGAGAAGGGATGCTGCTGTTTTGTAACATCATCCCGCTGAGCGGGTCAAGTTGTTGATGTGGTAAAGCCAGTGAGCCTAGGAGATGCCCTTCTGCATTGGTCTGCTGTGAGTGGAGGAACGTTAAGTTCTTTATCTTACTCAAGATCCACAGAATTTTCTTTCTATCCTTTGTCAGTTTTTGAACATGCAGGATAGTCTTAGACGAGTCTCTGCCTTTGGGAATGTTCTTCCTAATTTGTGAAGTGTGGCTGGTGGTATGCACTGTGTCTTTGTATGGTATATGATAAGTTAACTTGTGAAATCCTTTACAAAATTATAAGGACTTCCCTCATAAGATACTTTCTCAAAAATGGTTTGAAAGATTTAGCCTTGTTGAGTACTAAATTGTTTTTAAACCCATAATTTTACCATACTTTCTCTATTTCCCCCTCTATGTCATGTCACAGTGCTTTTTGCTGGCACAAGAGTTTGGATTCAGATTTTCATAAGAGTAATGGGAAAAGCCATAGGAAGGGTGGGGGTTGGGCGAACACGTCTGTGTAGCTGGTCAGCTGGTAGTTTCTATTTTGACAAAGGTGTGTACGTGTTTTTGTGTAGTTGATCTTTTTCTAGGGAGGAGTAAAAAGCATTGTCCAAAATAGTGGAAGTGTTATATTTCAGAATGCAGGAATTCACAAATTTTTATTTTATTGCAGGTATTTCTTGGTGGATTTTTATGCACCAACAACCGCTGTTGAAAGCATAATGGAACATTTGTCTCGCGACATTGATGTGATTAGACCGAATGTTTTAAAACACCCTCTGACGCAGGAAGTAAAAGCGTGTGAAGGGATTGTCCCAGTCCCACTTGAAGAAAAACTATATTCCACGAAGAAGAGGAAGTGAGAAGATTTGCCAGATTATAGCATTATATTTAATTCTCTCACTTTTGAGTACCATGGTTTAATAATTTACAGACTTGACCCTGATATAAGAGTGATACAGGTGCCGTTTGATTTTTCGAAGGTATTTTAGCTTTTGATCTCCCTTGCCGTGAGAAGTTGGGGAAGGGCTCGGTTTAGAGCCACTTTGTGATCTGTGGTACCAGCACATCGTTCTTGATTTCATTTCTTCATGTAACTTTTTTGTCGGTGACGGCTTTGCGCTACAACGATGCTAACACTATTTTGAAGAGCAGAGCTTCTAAAAACTGCCTCACACTGCAAGCTCGTCATTCAGGCCAGTGAACCACGCAAAATAAAAATTTAAGACCGCTGCATTTATATGAGAAACTTTTGACCAGAATAATAAACATAATTGCAAAAAAACCTCGGGGAGATGTTTTGTCTCTTCATCTGCCCCAGCACAGTGAACATGCCTGGGCGCCGTCTGCCCAGAAGCCCTGGACGCTAGCAGTGCGTGGGAGTGTTAACCTGGTTACCAGCCCAAGTGCAGAGACCGGGAGAAGTCAGGGGTGAGGGTGGGGCAGGGGTGTGTCTGTACCTCAACTACCGGGCATTCTATAAAATCAGTAACTTTTTCTTTTATCCTACAGTTAATTTGACCGTGGGTGGGTGTTGCTCTGTGTAGAGGGACGCGAAGGTCCTGTGGCTTGCGCTCTCTCGCTGCTTCCTCTCATGCCTCTGCCCACCATTCCCCTCCCCCCACCACCTTCTTTGGTGCCCACTTTGGTGCCTCCCCTCACCCCCTACCTTGAACAGTTGGAAGACAATTCCTTTTGAGTTGGGGTTGCCCAGAGAGCTAGCTGGCCCCGGCGTCTGGCCAGTGGCACTCTGAGCTCTCAATTTAGGGAGATTCCCAAGAAGGTACATCTCTTTTTTTCTGTTTTTTATTTGACACTTATGGACTGACTTTTTAAAACCACGTCCTGGAGATAAAAAGACGAGTTTTGTGTTGAGTTTTTTTTTGTTTTGGCAGAGGAGAGGTTGATTTTAGGACGTTGTTATACTTTTGAGACTAAGAACCAACTAGTCTTCGCTTGAAATGAGTGTAATTAAGGTTACCATATTTAGAAAATAGAAATGCAGGGTGTCCAGTTAAATTGGGATTTCAGATAAACAATGAATCTTTTTTTATCTCATAAGTATGCCCCAATATCGCATGGAACATACAGCATGTGCCGTTTATTTGAAATTAAAATTTACCTGGCTGTTGTATATTTTGTGCAGTATGACGCCTCCCCGGAGGCGGGGTCTGCGCTGCTCCGCAGGGCTTTAGGGGACTGGGGCCTTGTATCGGTCAGCCTGGCGCACTGAGTCAAGTTTGAGGCGCGTCAGGAATTAACGGAAGAGAACGCAACTGGCATCTCCTGTGCGCCTCCAACCTGATGCCCTCAGCCTGCCAGAAAACTGATCTAGAAACGAAAATTTCATTCCTGGTCAGTTCCAGATAATCTGTTCTGTGAGCCTGAATTTACACCGCAATCGTAGAATCCGGAAGTGCTACTGGCCTTTGACAAAAAAAAAATTCTCCTTTAAAGGAAGTCCAGATGCGGGCTCTGCCCCAGGCCTAGCAAGCTGAGGACCCAGCGTCTCTGGCAGCCGGATGGCGTCTGTGGCCAGTGAGGAGGAGGCTTCTTCCTGGCTCAGTCTCCTCAGAGCTGGTGAATCGGAAGAAATTGACCAGCCCCTCCACCTTCCCAAAGGGGTGCTCCGCACGAGGTGTCTGTCAGCAACCCAGTGCCAGAGCTGCTGTGCCTGTATCGTTAGGGTGCGGGGGGCGGAAGCGCCAGCCATTGAGTACAATCTCTGGTCACAGTAGTTTATACAATCAAATCATGTTAAAGTAGGAAGAGGCCCAGAGATTAGCCTCTGCGTCTTTTAGATCATGACGAGACTGAGACACCCATGTGCAAGACAGGTGTCCCGGAGAATCAGGAGGAGCCCAGCTCCTAATCCAGGACTTTCCCTCTGTAACACTGCCCATCTCTGCCTTGGGCAATCAGGTTTGTCCCTTTGTTTAATTCTTTCTCTAATTGATGTATAGTTGACCTAGTACAGAAATCTATTAGTTTCAGGTATCCAACGTAGTGTTTTGATATTTGTATACATTACAGATGTACAAAGTGATCGCTCCCATGGGTCTGGTTACTCTGTCTCCGTGCGAAGGTACTACAGTATTATTGACTGTATTCCCCACGCTGTTCCTTAAGTCCCCATGACTGACTGATTTGCTAACTGGAAGGCTGTACTTCTTAATCCCCTTCCCCTATTTTGCCCTCCCACCACCCACTCTTCCTCCCGTCTCAAAACCACCAGCTCTCTGTATTTATGAGTCTCTTTCTGTTTTATTTTATTCTTTAGAGTCGACAAAGAAGTGAAATCGTTCTGTAATTGTCTTTTCTCTGCCTGAGTTACTTCACTTAGCATAATACCTTCTGGGCCGTCCAGGTTGTTGCAAATGGCACGATTTCACCATTTTTCTTAAGAGCTCAGACAGCACCAAGCTTCAACTTCCTCACTGTAAAGTAAGTCTTTTTGAAGAGCAGTAGTTCAGTAAAGAGGGTCATTAAAAACTGTCGAGTGGAAATAAAAGGGCTAAAGTGGAGGTTATCTGGGAAAATATGCTACTTCCTGTTTTATTAGAATTTCCTGAAAGTGTGGGCTTTCAGCCAGGGCGTGTGAGAGCACAAACTCTTCTTCCAAATGGCTCGCGTGTGCGTGTCCTTTCGCTCAGGTGCTGTCTGACGGCCCCTATTTTGGGCCGCACACATCTTCCCTGGGACCCCATCTAGTCCTTTCAGCAGCCTTACAAGGAAGCATTGTCATCCCTGGTTTTTGGATGAGGAAGCAGGCTCAGTGGTTTGACCTTGACCCTACAACTACCTAGTGACAACTGGGAGCTTGAACTGGGGACCCTGAGGCCACGCAGTCTTTTCCTTTTAGTAACAGTGAACTTGCCTTTATCCTCTGGTTAAACAAGGCACCTGGATGTCTGGGGTGAATGATGACTGCTCAAGTGAGTAGCACTCGTCCTCATGGCCTGAGTGTGGTGCTGGCACATTCTTTTCCTGCATTTGCTAGTCCCTGGGAAGTTGATGGGCGTTCTTGAGCGTTCCAGGTCATGCCAGTGCTCAGAATCCTGTGGCACAGTTTAGAGAGGTAGGAAAGAGGCTGGCTAAGTAGGGCAGCCGTGCAGTGTGCCACTTGCCCTCCTTTGAAGCCTCTGAATGAAGGCACGGTCTCTTCCCTCTGAGCTGCTGATTCATAGCCGGACCTTCCGCCACTAAGGGGCCCTTGTGCCCTTGCAAAAGACCAGGTATCTAAGCGGGGCCTCTGTGTAGGTCCTTCCCAGGCTGCGTGTGTGCCATCAGAGCCGAGAGTGTCTGGTCCTCCTGCCCACCTGGCCGTGGTCTGCCCCTGCAGGGGTGATTAGGAGCAGGGTCCTGGAAGGAGAGCAGTCACCACAGATGGGACAGTCACTGTGTCCTCAGGGGCTCCTAGCGGAGAAGGCAGGAAAGCAGGATGGCGCCCAGCATGGGGGGGCTGCAAAAGTGACGGTGAGGCCGAGGTCTGGGGGGTGAGCCAGCTCTGCACCTGCAGCTGCCCTGGGGCCCCTGAGCTAGAGAGTGGAGTGGCCCCCGTGGATGGGAAGACAGGGCCCGACAAAGAATCCAGTCAAACCTGGGAGACCCGCAGGGAGGACCGGAGTCTGCCAAAATGGACTGACCCTCAGAAGCACCGCAGGGCAGGTCTCAAGGTTGAAGCAGTGATTCCAGAGCGTTCTTTAGGCTCACTTCCTTGAAATGACTCCTCTGCCTCAGTTTGCTACCTTGACTACTTGTGGTTCACTTTGGACAGGAATGAGCTTCTGGAAGTACTTTTTCACAGGGATTGGGCTCAGGAGGGCGCAGGGGAGGGTGATGGAGGTTGTGGGCCCAAGAGGCTGGTCTCAGGTGTGTCTCGGAAGCTCCTTCCCGGAGATGTTTAGAAGTCATGGAAGTACGCAGCAGGCATCTGAGGCGGAGGACTAAGCCCTGTGCTGTGGAGTGTCAAGGAAGGACCGTTAAGTACAGGCGAGCCCTTTAGATTTTTGCTGAAAGGCCACATTTTTCTTGATTGAGATGAAATATTTTTTTGAAGCATTAGGAGGATTGAAGGCATGAGCTGTGCTTCCCTACTTCTAATTGAGTCCAGAAGCGTCATTGTCTCCCCCACACACAGTGGGGGATGCACGACAGTATACCTGGGGGACACTTTGAGCAAGAGCTCATATGAACAGTAATCCTTTACCTTTCCTCACAACTCCATGAAGCAAGTATTACACCCATTCTACAGATGGTGCACCCAAGGGTCAGAGGAAATAAGTGACTCCAAGGCTGCAACAGGAGGATTGGGGTTGGCGATTCGACAGTCCACTTTCGGCTCACCGCATCCTTCTGGAAGTGGGCGCCCGCATCCCTGCCGCCTCAGCCATGCTCCGGGGGGCCGGTTCCTTCCTACCCCACACCTAGACCAAGGACCCAGGCTTTCTTATTTTAAGACGGGAGAGAGTGAATCTGGGACTTCTTAGGAGTGTTTTTATCTAAGGTCTTGAAAGAGAAGTCATGAGAACGACAGAGTAAAAACGTTAGCGTACCCTGGAGACTAGGCCTCCTTTCTGCACATAGTTTTCCTCTGCTCTGTGATTTCCCGCGGAGTTGTTTTTTTTTTTTTCCCCCTCCATACTCCAGGGGTATGTTTATGAAGCGCACACATGGCCAGTGATGCCCTGGGCAGGATACAAAAATGAATGGGCAGTGACCCTGACCTCAAGGTCATAGATGGGGAGGTGGTGCCATTTAAAACAGGCCATAATAAAAATGATAATTAAGATTCAAACTAAGTGCAATGGAAACAACTGGATTCATCAGCACTTGGAACTGGGTGGCTGGAGCAGGGGTGGGGGTGGGCATCCAGCCGAGAGAGTGTTTCAGCAGGCATGGGAACTAGTGTGGAGCATGGCGGGTAGCCGATGGGAGGTGGCAAAAGTACAGTGTATTTTCAGAACCCCTGGGGGCCACGCAGGTACGGTCTGGCGAACGAGAGATTGGGGATTCAGGGAGGGTCCAAGTCGCTGTCTGCTGGTGAGAAGACCTTGAAGGTTTCTTGAACTGAAAAGATCATTTTGAAGAGCCCAGAACGGGTACTGTGCATATTAATTCCCTGTAAGATGTGCGTCCCAATTGACCAATGCTCTACCCTGCCCACATATTTGTGAGGAAGAAATGATTATATAAACTCATCATGGAGAAGTACAAAGGGCATTGAGGCGAGGTGG